ATATATATATATATATATATATATATATATATATAATGTTGGTATTATAAGCAAAGCTGGATCTAATTGACGTATTATTATTATTATTTTTATTATAAATATTACTATAATTATTATTGGTGTTATGCTGTTTAGTAGTGCTTATTTCTCTGCATTTCTATGTCTTTAAATTCCTTCATTCCCTCCCTACCTCTCAGTCTTCCCCGGTTTCAATCTGTAGCGTTTTGCTGTTTTTCCTTTTGCGAACAAGGCATGTGATGAATTAAAGAAGAAATTTGGCATCAAATCGTCGTCCTTTTCTGTAACATACATTTTTGCTTTGTTATTATTTATAAAAATTTTATTTGGGCATCTTGCGCCCTCAGTCTCATCTAGGTTTTTTGAAGGAACAGATAACCCAAAATGAAAAGAAGTTCTTATTTTATTTGATTTTCAAGTATTTTTTATCTGCATGCAGTGACAAAGCGAAATGGGCTTGGAAAGTTCTACTGGTTTTATTTTCTATTTTTATTTTTTTATTTTTTTTTATTTTACTCTTGATAAATTGTTTTGCTTGCTGATTCATCTTCATTCTCGCGTTCTTTTTTTTAAATAGTACATCGTTTGTTGGTGTTTTAATGTCGAGATTTGCATATTTCTGTCGGAAAACAAGTTTTTTTTCTTTCAAATACTTTAACTGCGGTAATTTTCAGGTGCCGTAAAGTTTTTAATGGCCGAGGAGGGGCATGATTTAGATCCACAGGTTTCGAGCCCCCCTCGGCAGCTGTTAAGCCGTACTAAAAAGCGCACAGTCACTCCACATTCTATGGGTTTGTTTTTGCTTCTTTTTTTTTCCGATTGATAATAGTTCTTTTTTAATGCGGTTAGTTTAGCAATCATGGGTTTATACACTAGCGGTTTTTTCACTGTTTTGCTGCATAAAGCGTGTTATTCGTTTGTTTAATTTTGATTGGGCTATTACAGTACTAAGAAGAAGGACAGGGGATCATTCAGAAAGTTGTGAGATATCGTCGGATGTTCTGCTTTCTCCAGTAAGCTCAATGTTTTGTATGCCACAGTCCATTCAGGCTGTTGAGGATGATTCTGATCCATCGTCAAGAAGGTAGTTTCTCCAAAATTCCTACTTCAGATTATTTTACTTTATTAATTTTTTTTGCTTTTTAGATAATGTGACATTTTCAGGTACACTTTACGTAGAAGGAAATCATTACAGCAGAAAGACGAGGAAGGTTGCGTTACGAGCAGTATGGCTGCCACAGCTGACGAGGTATATTTTCATTACTTAAAATGCTTTAACTAAATATCGTTGCTCAAAAAAGTAATTGCTCTTAAAGTAGAATGCTGACATATTTAAAAGCTTTTACTTTTTTTTTTTTTTTTTTTTTTTTTTTTTTTT